TTTTTCAAAGCTGTTGTCAGAGCGACTCCCCTATCTTAGAAAGACACTCCGTCTTTTTCTCTTGTTTAAAAATCCAACTACAGTGGGCAAAAATAACATATTTGTTTACTTGTCATGAAGACTGCACTGTAAATAAATCATCTGATAAATTACTTCCCCAATATGAGCAGAATGAGATTCATTTCCCTTAATGCTGTACCAGTGGGAATGGCAGAATTGCGTTCCCTGTTAGGGTTACTGTGCGCTGGCCCGCCAGCTTGTGAGCGCTGAGAGAAACACTGTGAGGGACCCTGCACCCAGCTTTTGCCACCTACTGCAAGCAGGTGAAAAACAAAATCACAGGAGTGAATTGGATTTCAGTTAGTTCTTAGATGTTCTTTGTACTTTTCACTTTGCTGAACCTTTCGCACGGATTCCATCACCTTCTGCATGTTCTTTGTTGTAGGTTCACGTTAGACCTGGGAGAACCAGGCTCTGGACAATAGGAAACCTGTCTTCTTGAAATAAAGCATAGAATGAAAGAAACAGAAAATAGTGTCCATATCGTCACTTTAAAAATAGAGCATGTGTTTCAATTTCATCTGAGTTCTACATAGTAAAATTCATGGCTACTTTTTTTTGACATAAAATAATATGTGAAAAGTGCTTAGCAAAGTACTGAAGTGAATGCCTAATAAACGACAGCGGAAATCATTCTTGAGAGTAGAGTTAGATGTGTTATTATTATCATTTATTGTCTTTTACAGCCCAGAAATCACAAACGTTATAAAAATCACAATGTAATTTTTATGTTTTAATCATTTCTGAAATATATCAATAAAACGCTTAGTTTGGGGAAGTGGAGAAGATGTAGAATTTGAAGGCTCAGTCCGACCCTCCCAGCTGCTCCCTAAGTGTGTGTCTTTCACGTTGGTGTTTAAAGAAGAGAAGCTTAGAGATTCAAATATCGTATTCTCCCTTTCCATCCTGTTCGACCATCACATGACCTTGAGGAAATTATTTAACGGCGAAAAGACTCAGTTTCCCTTTTGTGAAATGGGAGACGGCTGTAAAAGGACAAATGAGATGATGAGTGTAGAACGTTTGCCAACACGCGGCCTGTAGAAGAATGACTGAGTGGTAGACACAATTCACCACAGATCTTCTTTCTCCTGTGTGAAAAGACAGAGGGAGGGTTCTTCGGTCCAGCCCAGCGGCAAGGCTGCCTTCTTTTCCCCTAGGGAAGAAGGTTGTCCAACAAACTAGTGCTCTGAGAAGCTGAGGAGGCAAAGGGTCCATTGAGTCCTAAGGGACACTGCTTTCCAGCATTCCTCCCCTTATTTATACTCTCATAAGCAGTCAGGGAAAGCCAATACCTCCAACTAGCTTCATTAGAAAGGGCCCAAATGATGACTTTTAGTAAGTACAGATTTCAAAATTTTAAATTTAAATGTTAACAGAAAAACATCTCCCTATAAATATACATTTTTCTCTTACTAGGAATTTCTTCGAAAACATTTCCATTTTATAAGCATCCTTTTTACCAACCTTCCCTCATGATTATTTTTTTCAAAATCTTCTTTGAAATAATAGATAGTTTGAGACAGTGTTCATACAATAGTTCCTTGAAACATGAAAAATTAGTTATAATACCATACAAATTGTTTTTCACTGAGGATAATTTTTGTCAGTAGATGTGTTGATGTTTCCATGAATTAATTTTCCCTACAACTCTACTTATATCATATTTGAATTTTGCTGTCTTAAGTAGGTTTTACCTAACATTTATTTCTACCCATCATAGGAAATTTTAGGATGATTTTATTATGAAATTAAATATATTAAAATATGTCTGAGCTTGAACTTCTTATGGGAATAAGGTTAGTCTCTGTGTTCTTCATCCACCACTTGGGCTGTGGCAACTAAAGTCAGCTCCATAGAAAAACGCTTGCAGAGGAAGACTGTCATTCTTTTGTGAGAAAACAACACATCTCTTGTTCTTCACATCTGTTGCTACATTTTGGGTTTTTTTTGTTTTGTTTTTCGAGACTGGGTTTCTCTGTGTAGTTTTGCGCCTTTCCTGGAACTCACTTTGTAGAGGAGGTTGGCCTCAAACTCACAGAGATCCTCCTGCCTCTGCTTCCTGAGTGCTGGGATTAAAGGCGTGTGCCACCACCTCCCAACTCTGTTGCTATATTTTAAAGAAAGTCCCTGAGCCTGAAGGAGCTCTGCTCTCCGTGGACACGGGCCAAACAGACAGTACCAGGATAGGGGGAAGCAAAACTTTGGGCATGAATGACTTCATCTTTGTTTTTCTTTTCCTTTCTTCTTTCCTTCTTCTTCTTCTTTTTTTAAAATTTAGAACATGTAAGATGTCTAGCTGTGTAGATCTGCTGAAATGACGATTTTAGTGTTAATTGAAGAGATAGTTTATGATGAGACAGAGCTGTTCATTTCCAGTTTGGAGACGTGCTAGGGGAATCACTTTCTCTGTGCTTATGGATTCAGACAGAAACTGGTCAGAAGAAAGCCAGAGCCGAGGAATCTGGACTTTATTCTGTCCACTGGTGCTTCTGCAGTTGTCTACAGGAATTACAGTTTCTTTTAACACCAGTGTCTGCTGAGGACATTTATTAGAAATACTAATATGGAGAACTATATGCCATCACCTCCCTAATCATCTTATAACAGATAACTAGTTTTTTTTAAAGAGACCCATGAATCCCATATTGTTATTTTCATCTCCATTTTGCAGATACCTGAGCAGAGACACTAAATATTTCAATACCTTGCCTAGAGTCTCCCAGGTGGGCAGCAACTGAGGGGTGCTGTAATTCCAAACAGTTCTGCTCCAGTATCGACACCCCTTCTGCACTCATGAAACACTCAGTCTGTCAAATAAGGAACTGTGTGTCTGACAGGCAGGGTGCTACACAGAAGCCTGTCATCCATTCAAGGTCACCAAAGTACATATCTGCCATCCTTTCAGGCCAAAAATGAAGCTAGGATTAATTACAGAAAGTGCTTTTTGAATCAACCAACAACAAATCAGAATCCATCAACATTAATTAACTTGAAGTTAAAGTCCTCCCAATTGTTCTGTATCTTGTTAAAGAATATGTAACATCTAACCAGTTAAGACTAGCAGTGACTTTGAATTCCATATTATTTTGAATGAACCAGCATTGGTAGCACAAAATTTTATTGCAATTGCTAATCTCAATATGTTTGTGGATGTTATGAAAAATCACTGTTGACACCAGCTGATTTGTAACATGGTTGTGCTTTGAAGCAATCATCAAGATTCCCCAGTTTTCAGTCTTGGAAGAAGAAATGGCTATGTGGCCATCTCTGCTTCTTATGGGTTAGGCAGTCAATTTCAGTTCCTCCCTCCCCGTGGATTATAAAGTAATAAAAGGGGAAGGGCTAACACTAGGAAAGTTTTCCTCAAAATCTTTCCAAATTTATTCTGAAAATATTTCCCATGGCTACTATTCAATATTGATGGCAAAGATCTGGTGATCTGCTGGCATAGGCTTACACATGATGTGCACAAGGACAACATGGTGGTTTTGATATCTGTCTATGTAAATGGACATGGAATAGATTGGAATGGACATGGAAAAGATATGGAATCTTCCCAATATCAAAACATAACACACATGAAAAAACCATAGTTGAGAAATAAGACATCATGATCTAAAACAATTTAACTTCCTTTGATGTCTAATTACTGCTTTTTGGGTAAAGATCCTAACCTCTGGTTAGAGATGGCAAATTAAAGGCGGGTTTCATCACCTGAGAACTGCTTGCCGCTCATTGCCTCCCTCCTCCTCCTCATCTTATTCACCGGAGTACATATGTGCACACATGTGTACCCACAGTCACCTGTAGACGTCATATCTATAAATCACAACTTTCTGCCAAATACTGAAGAAGTGGTAATAGCTGAATGAATAATTTTGTCTACTCTGACAGCTAACTTTTTTTCACGTGCCTTCTCACCACCCAAATTGGCCAAATCCACTGACTGACTGATCTTTTACAGTAAAGTCACTAGTTGTATACTAAAACTATCTGGGTTGGAGATGATTTAAGCTACCCCTGACCAATTCTGAGACTTTTCTTTCTTTGCTCACTCCTGCCCAGTCCTTTCTCAGACATTCGTTCCTGTCAGAATGCACTTGAAGAGTTCGTAAGTGGAGAGTGAGTGAATGAGAGAGTGGGGTGTTCTGAAACTCCTCTTAGCATACCTAATGCTCACCTTCCTAGTGCTGCAATGGGCACAGCGGGAAGACTCTCATGCAGCCTGCGCAGTACATTTTGTGCAGACAGAACTTAACGTGAAGGACGGAATTTCTCGCTTGCTTTCAGACACATACTAATGGCACAAGGGAAGCAAGAGTTAGGAACTATACAGAGGTTAGAGGCAGGTGACCCCGTATTGCCGCAGAGGAGTCCTATAAAGAAAATGGCAACTGGTAGGTTTTCCGTTGGATGCTACCAATGGATGATGCTACCCGTGCACATATGGGCGGCACTAACTGAATTTGGTGGGTTGTTTAAAACAACAACAACAACAAAAAAAAGACATTGGAAGGGAGCATGATGAGTAGGGACAGGAGGGCCTGAGGGAAAATGGGGTAGATGCGATCACATTTCATTACGTATCTGTACAAAATTCTCAAAAATTTAAAAGAAATGTCAACATTGGGAAATACCTTAATGCTGATAATCTGTGAGCAGAGATATCAGAAACATTACTGTGTGGAAATTTCCTTTTTAAAAGCCAGTTAATTTCAAAGACGCTAGTAGCAATCATCTTTGACCCTTTTCAGTGACTCAATTTGTTTATCCCATTCAAAGTTTTAAGATACATCTGTGTAAATCTCTGATGGTAAATGTTTTATTGCCATTTTTGATTAAGCATGGAATATTAAAGAATATCAGCTCAACGGAGTCTAGTCCCCCATTGACATTCAAGAGCTTTCTACTATAAGATCAAGGTTAATGAAAGTTACCTCTGCAATTCCTCAGGCACTTGTGGTCGAGCAGTTCATTTAATTTCTATTCAGTTGGCATCCCCAAGTGGAGTTCTGCTGGAGAAGCAGAAGACAAACTCTGGATGAACTAGAAGCTAAGACACACAGCAGGTCATGAAAAATTGAAATTAATTTCTATTTGTCATTTTCCTAATTAACATTATACTACCCAAATGGAATATTATTTAAATCTTTTTCACCCCATTGGAAATTTGCTCTGCCCCCATAAAGCATGGTAGTTCCAGGTACTTACAAACTTAAGGGTCATACCTTTGCACCAGATAAGAACAAAATAAGACTAACTTTTCAAAATCTCCAGATTTTTAAGTTTAAAATCAGGAGGCCAAGCCATGCATGCCTGGATTTATTTCATTTAAAAATCATATTTCAACTTACCTGCAATTTATTCTTAATCAATATGCTTAGTCACCATGAATGAGAATTCTCCTCCCTCTAAGATAATGACCCCCGCAAACAAACACTAGGCTGGAGGGGCCATTAATTTTATTTTATATGGAGACATAAAAAAGATCACTGTACAGTGATTCTTCTTGGCTCTTTAACAGAAAATATGCCTCATAGACAACACCTACAATGTAATTATAAAAATGCACCAAGGCCTTTGTACGCAGTTAATCAGAGCTAAAACTGCCTGAGAACATTAGGAACTACTTTTACAAAGATCTGAAACCTTAGGTCAAGTCAGAGGTCTTAGTGTCTGAATTTTACCACAGGCTTGGCTGCAGCCTGGAAGGCCCTGACGGGGCTGCCCGCCCCCTCCGCTAGCCTTCTGTGTACATTTCTCTTCCCTTCAGCTCTTACTACCCTTCTTAGCCTTCAAGCACATTACCTCTTGTCCAGGGCCTGGGTTTTTGTGCTGCCCACCATGCGTCTCCACAGTTCCTGCACGAGTGTCTTTGCATAAATGTCATTTTATCACAATTGTCTTTCCTGGTCACTTGTAAAAGAGTACCCACACCACTCTCTGCCTACCCCTGCTGCAAGCTGCAGGAAAATGTAATGGAATTCAGCTACTATTACAAAAGCTACTACTTGGAAAAGTCAAGGACTTTTCCAAAGGTCAAGCCATGGCTTAAGAAGTCTTGGTGATAGTTTAGCTTCTATATATACATATATATAAATATATATAAATAATATATTTTATATTATATATAAATATAATATATATATTAGCTGGTTCCTACAGTGATTTTCTTGTAATGCTATGAGTGCTTCCAAGAACTCCTAGCAGTTTATTTATCTAAAATACCTATCAAGCATCCAAGGTCAAACGAAACAACCCCTGTCTCCTAGGTCAGGAGGATAGCTTCATTTCTTGTGCTATTTAGGGTGAGACCCTCCTTCCTTACAGCCTTACTAATAGTAATTTCTCCTAATTTCTTACCTAACCACTTCTAGGAATGTAGATTGAGCACATAAATTCCCTTCTTGTCTAACCAATCATTAGCACTCATTTGGGTTGTAAAAGAAAGCCTGCTGGTCACTGCCTGAGGAAAATTCTCACCTGCCTTTATGACCCCATAAGAATTCAAACCTGGTGACCTTGCTCTGCCAGAGGATCACTATGACTGGGGTTTATAACTGAACACCTCAGAGACTGGGGGGAACTGAAGTATAAGGAGAATGAAGAGAGGATATTGAGGATATTTTGGCTGGAGAGGATTATTGACTAGAGAACTGGAGGTCAGGATGGAAGATGAGGAAGAGCCCAATGGGGAAGTACTAGCTGGGTAAGAACGAAATGAGAAGGACCTAGACGAAGCAGAACCAAGATGAGAGAATTAAGTTAGAACTTAGAGGGGACAGCAGATAAATGTAGAGAGAGATCAGGCAAGAAAGGAGCTAGGCATGAGAGCAGAATAGAAGCTGTGTAGAGAGAGAACTGACACAGAATAAACAATAAAGTGTATAGACTAAGGAGTTTAGTGTATATGCATTCATTTCCTTTCATCAAAGCTTAAATTATCAGCTGGTTGTAGATTCTTCCCAGACCCTGGGAGGGGACTATCGAGGGGATGGACCCCCCTAGTCCCCAGTATATCCCCACCTGCTTTGTTTTTCTCTCTACCACGATTTTTTAAAGATTGTGTCCTTCTATCCACCACCATTAAAATGTGAGACCGGTGTGGGCTAGTTTTGCTTGATGCTATTTCTTTAGCCTCCAAATGAATACTTCAGTCATCTTAGTGGGCCCTCAAAATATATCTGTTGAATGAGTGGGTAGATGAGTGAGTGAATGAATGAATGACTGGCTTCTCTTTTGACCCTTTCTCCTAAAACTGTACTTTTCGGAGGAGTACAGTTAATAAGAACCTGTGTTCTTATGTGTACATTTCAACGTGACACTGAAGTTTGGCTCGTGATTCCATGGTTTATGTGTCATGATGCTTAAAGCCAGGTAGATAGCATTATTTTTGAATTTCATTCTTCTTATCTGAAACATCATTATTGAACCACCCATCTTATTGAAGTTTTTAAAAATGCAAGCCTTTGCCTACCACATAGCTGCTATATTCTAGGTAGGCACTCAACTATTCAAACCCCTTATGGCATTAATCCTCTAACTCCTAAAGTATGGGAACTCATTTCAGTTTTACACTTGTTAGTGTGTGTACACACTAACATACCTGTATGTGCTCTTGCACACGTGCAACTGAGCATGGGCAGGGACCAGGTTGAGGTAACCACTTCTCTTTCTACAGCGTGGGTTTGAGGGGATCAAGCAGGTAGTCAGGCATGGCAGTAAGTATCCTTACCCACTGAGCCATATTGCCATGCTGTAACTTGCAACTGCAATTTTTTTTTTTTTATTTTCTGAAACAGAAAGGACTGCTTCCAGGTACTTCTTGATTGGGTGGAGAGCAAATCAACACTGGGGGTTTAGAAATATCTCCTTTTCAGTCTGCGTAAGAACTTCTTACCTATTTGATATCATTGGATGAAGCACCCTCCTGTCTTCACCCAGTAGAGTGTCACTCTCATTGCCTGAGACAGCAAGGTCCTTGTGTCTACCCATTCTGGGTAATGTCCCAGATGCTCCAGATGTAATCCACCTCTGTGGTGCTGCCACCAAAGTGCTAGCCCTGTCTTCTGTGAAGCCCAGTCCTTTTACTTCCCAATATTGCTCCCAACCTCTCCAGGTCTCTGTCACTTTTCTGAAGGGCATGATTCAGAGCCTCCTAGTCCTTGAGGGATCTTCTCCTTAGTAGCAAATTTATCACTCCCAAAAGGCTGAGATTTTCTGGGCTCAAGCACTGAGGAAGAATTTTCTTTTGAATTACTAGAAATTTGACAAGTTTCTGAGTAAAGAAGGGAGTTGGCAGTTTCCATGGAATGTGTGAATGGGAAATTGGTGCATAATTAAGACTAGGACAAATTATTCCACTAATTATCTCATCAAATTGAATTCAATCAGGATGCTACAATATAGTGATGTTACATGGACCAAAACGTTCTTTCCTCTACAATGTGTTTCATCTTTCAATGCACAGTCTACATCCTAGATTGGAAGTTATATGTCAACTTGTTGAGGTTGTATGTCCTATGTTTATCTGATGTTTCCTGTGGTCAAAGAGATTAAATCAGGGACCATGATCCAGGACAGCAATAGCGAAACCAGTTCAGTACTGCTTCTGCAGCACCTCAGATCATAGCATGCAGAGTGGAAAAGGCTGCCCCTGATCATTCCTGAGCCTGGGATTTGCAGCTTCCCCTTCTGTTAGAACCTAAACTCTTCTCAAGACCTCCTCTTTTTGCCCTCTAAGAACCTGATGACTTCCTGCTATGGGAAGCATATTTTTCTTATTGACCTTGTTTCTAATGAACTGAAGTTTCTCCAAGGCAGTTTCTTGTAGATACTCAGCTGACCTTCAAATTCATACCATTGTATCTGTGAACTCTTGCAATATGTCTTAATGCTTATTTAAAGTTAACTATTTATAAAGAATGCCTTGCATACAATACCATCATTTTACAAGTATTTTTAAAATTAGTATACAAAATAATGGCCTCCATTATGATACTTTCAATATATATGTAACTTTATATCATTTCTTTTTATTCGTATAAACCTTAGTACCTACATAAATGGCAGTAGCATCCTGATTTATATTTCATATGTTGTCAGACACAGAATATTGTTTATAATAGCTATTTAATCAGTAATTACTATGTGTTATCACATTGGCATATTCCAGACCATATCTTTTGGAACTAGTCTAGAAGAACTGGAAATGATTTTCTTAAACTTGAAGGTTATATACAAACTTTTGCCAAGGCAGCCCATACCCAAACATTTATTTTCAGAGATCAAGAATAAAGCTGTGGATACCTAAGGAACGAGGAAAGGAACATACTGCAAGTCAACAAAGGACTAAAAATACTCACCAACTGGAACTCCAACATTGTCATGGTACTCAGTGAGTTTTATCTCACACACACACACACACACACACACACACACACGCACACGCACCAGAAAGTAGGACTTCTATGGCAGAATTCCAATAAGGCAACAACCAACTCAAAGAGACAGAAAGAAATGCAAAACCATAGAAAACAAAGCAAACAAAACAAAACAAAAACCTAAAGCCAGGAAATAGCAGGAGGCAGGGGGAGAGGGAGAGAGAGAGAGAGAGAGAGAGAGAGAGAGAGAGAGAGAGAGAGAGAGAGAGAGAGAGACTGTCCTGCAGAAGGCACCACAACAATGAGTCAACCATAATCTAATGGGAGAATATCTACATCTTGGATAGAAAAATTCCATGAGTTTATGGTAACAAGAAAGTTTTTAAGTCACAAAATTTTTAAGAAGCATGACTACAAACTAGGTATTCCCAGTCTAATTAGATGTTTTGGAGATTTACGTAAACATTAAAAAATTAGTAGAACTATATTTCTTAGAAAGCAAAATTAATTTAGACTTTTATCTAGGTTTAAGAATAATGAATACATGAGCCGGGCAGGGGTGGCGCACGCCTTTAATCCCAGCACTCGGGAGGCAGAGGCAGGCGGATCTCTGTGAGTTCGAGGCCAGCCTG